ATCTGTCCATGCTGCACTGTGTTGAGTGGGATGTTGCATCCAAATGTGCACACCCATCTGCCTTCTGAAACAACTAGACTCTCATTGGAAAAATAACTCATATTGGTGTATGTCCGTTAGAGTGGATTCGGTTCATAGTGACGAAGAAAGGATGTAGTTGCAGAAAGATGTTTAGATGGAATTACATGTTATGGGAAGCATGAAGCTGCTACCAAAAATGGTAGACATGTGTTCTTCCACACCACAATTGGGTAGTAAAATGTACATTGTGCATTTCATGACTTTCCCAACATAATTAGTTACCGTTGGTGGAGTCAGGGAGATACATAACATGACCCGAGACAGGACAAGGTTTACTGCACCTTTCAAAAATGGAAAGGGAGAACCTGACAAAGGGCTGCCATTTTCTGCAGCAGCCCCATGTTTGTCTTAACAGGACCAAACAACATATGACAAGGGGGGAAAATGAGACTGATGATGATGTATTTCTTACAAACCACCTTCAAAAGGCCACTTTGGGTTTTGGAAACAGCATGGGAGAAAGAGCTGACTCTCTCATTCACCACTGCTGGGGTCTTGATCCATAACAGGCCACCCAAGTCTGCTTCGAACAGCAGGATTTCCAACCATGGAGCTCTAGCATCCTGTGTAGTCTGGCCCGGGGTCGCCCGCCCCAACAGTGCAGTATGGCAAGCAACAGATCTTTAGAGCAACTTGACTTCTAGGGCAGAAGGATAAGGCCTACCAGAGACAGCACGTTTTATTCCATGGTCTGGTCAGCCCACAGGAAGGCGAAGTTTTTAACAGTCACTTCCATGCTTTCCGAACATTATTTTTGCATAGTTTTATCATATTAAGCTGATGATGGGAGACACCTGAGGATTTCTCCAAGGCAGACTTGAATGGGTGTTGTGTTCTTACATAGATGGCGCACATGGTCGGGCCCACACACAGCCATGTGAACGGCTTAAGCTTTTCTCTCAGAGACAATAGCCAGCATGGATCCTGGAACACACCCAATCGGGCAGTCAGGATCCTAGAGTGACCTATGGGATGCATGTGCACTGTAAATAATCCTATCACGGGTGCGGGTATGTGTTTGGGTGTGGTTCACTATGGGAATATAAGCAGGCCTCCGGTCCTGCTTTCCTTGTCTTGTTTTCCCGAGCTGACATAAACTATGAGCTCTTTCACTTATCAACATGTCTGGGCCCAGTACTTTTCAATGGGAGACGCTTGGGGGGGGGAAGGGAAATTTGGTGTCTGGTTTGGCATCTGGGCAATTGGCTCTTCAAGGCACTGCTCTGGTTTTTGTTGACTATGTTGAATGTAATCCATAAAACCCAAAAGCCCGAAGGATGCATTTTACAAGAGAAAGGGTGTTAACCATCATGTAGCATTTTCCAGTCCGATTCCCATTTGATTCATTGCATCCTGGCAAACTCAAATCCCTGTTGCGTTTAACAACTTCACAGGAGGAAGGGTTTTTTTTTTTTTTTTTAAGAATACACTTGGGAGAGTAAATCAAATATTTCTGGTGATGCAGAAGTGCATTATTTAATTTTATTTAAACATTTATTAGCTGCCTTTCTACCTTGCAGGACTCAAGGCAGCTCCCAATGTCAATAAAACAACAATTGTTAAAAAAAAATACATAAAAGACTAGTTTGAAACCACAGTTTGGGACCGCCGATAAAGAAAACTAATAATCAATCCAATACGGCCCTCAAAAGAACTGTCTTCAACTGCTTGCTGGAGATTGAAAATGAGGGAGCCAGGCGCACCTTCCTGAGGAGGAAGTTCCATAATTGCGGGGCCGCCACTGAAAAGGCCCTTTTCTCGTAGAAGTACAGCAAATGGTCCTTACTAAAGGGCCGTGGTGAGCAACAAATAACAAAGTGGATTTTAGAGCTGTTCTCTTAAAAACGCTTGTGATGTGGGTGTTAGGAAGTGTAAGCCCTGTTCTTCTTCAGGTTCGGGGAGTAGAAAGAACACTGATGAAGAGTTCTTTTTGAGAAGTGGGAGGCTGGGGAAACACCTTGGCTTGGATTTGAGGATCTGCTAATAGGATCACCTTGTTCTTCAGGGAGCGGGAGTGGGGTGGGGTGGGGGTCCACACGAAACACTCTTTGTTTACCAGCATGAAGAGGCCATCTAAGTGCCTCTGGGAGTGGTACTTCTTAATACTTTATATGACATCAATGGAAGACGTGACAGGTAGTTTAATGGTTCTACAAATTTCCCCCTAAGGATGTTTTTACTAGACGTCGTCCATAAAAACTTTCAGTTCCCTAAATCCATTGAAATAAAAATGAAAGTTCAGAAGCTACTGAGCGTTCAGACACTGTTTCTGATTAGAGAAAGAAATGCGAGACACCAGTCTTTTGAAGGATCTATTATTTAGTTATTCCTTCAGGCATCCAGACGGCTGCGGACAAGCATAATTGGCATGGGGTGATGAGTTACCCACTGCATTCTGCTGCATTTAGATTTAGGCTATTCTAGAGCTATAAGCAGAAGTGATACATACAGTTTAGCAGCGTAGTGGAAATCTGTTCTGTACTATAATAGGGGAACTGGGATAAGATCTGGGGAGACTCAGAATCAAATCACCACTATGAAGCTTCTTGGTTGAGCTTGGCCAGTTACTATCGTTGAACCTAACCTACATCACAGGGCTGTTGTGTGGATTAGTATGGACAGAATTTCACAGTAAATCTCCCCCCACACACACACACATTTGAACCATTACCAAGATTAGGATCAGGGGGTTTGCCCCCAACATTGGGAAAAGGCACAGAGCTCCCATTTCTCTCCAGGAACAATCTTTTTGGACAACTGGGTTTTCTTTGGAAAAGCTGCTGCCTCTCTGGTATTTTTTTTTTTAAACCAAAGCTAAGTATTCCTCCTTTCCACAGCAATAAAGGAAGTGACGGGGTAGAAATCCTAGAAAATATTTTATAACCAACTACTTGCGCCCATGCAGTCTAGCACATGGGAAAGAGATTAAGAGAAATACCCCAGAGAAATAAATTGCACTAAAGTGAAGCCTCAAAACTGTCTTTATGAAAAAGGTTAATTATAAAAGAGAGGGAGAAAGGAAGAGAAGAAGAAGAGAAGAGATTGGATTAATATCCCGCCCTTCACTACTCGAAGGTGTCTCAGAGCGGCTTACAAACTCCTTTCCCTTCCCCTCCTCACAACAGACACCCTGTGAGGGAGGCGGGGCTGAGGGAGCTCTGACAGAAATTGCTCATTTTCAAGAACACCTCTGACAGAAGTATGGCTTGCCCAAGGTCATCCAGCCAGATGCAAGTGGAGGAGTGGGGAATCAAACCCGGTTCTCCCAGATTAGAGTCCGTGCACTTAACCACTACAACCAAACATGGTGGCTGGATTCAAAAGGTGGCAGGAAAAGGTGGGGGGAGAGAGAGAATGCAGGGAAAATACACAATAACAACAGTATAGAGATATTCAAATGAAAAGCAATACAGTTGGGTTAGATAAGCTTAACACGTTACCTAGGCTGTGGCAGGTTCCTCAGAGCATACACAGAGTTCCTTGCAGTAACAAGAGGGTGGAGAGGTTATTTATTCCTATCCAACTTTCTGTGGACTCTGTTTCTGCTGAAGACTGAAAACGTTTTTCCCTAAGTATTAAAAGGTAGAGAACCAGTGTGGTGTATTGGCTAAGAGTGTCGGACTAGTAACTGGAAGTCTCAGGTTCGAATTCCAACTGGTGCCATGGAAGCTCACCGGATGACCTCGGGGCATTCATTCTCTCAGCTAACCTACCTCACAGGGTTGCTGTGAGGATAGAAAGGAGGAGAAGGATGTAAGCCGCTTTGGGTCCCCATTGGGGAGAAAGGTGGGGTATAAATGAAACAAGTAAAAAATATTGTTTCAGGCACTCAGGCGTGTGTATTTTTCTCATGACCACTGCTATCCAAGAATTGTCTGGCTGGGTCACACAAAATCCCTATTCCAGCAATGGAAGGTGTGCATTACTATAGGGTTGCCAGCCTCCAGGCGGGGCCTGGGGATCTCCCAGTTTTACAACCGGTCTCCAGTTGACAGAGATCAGCTCCCCTGGAGAAAGTGGCTGCTTTGAAGGGTGGGCTCTAGGGCACTGAACCATCCTGAGGCCCCTCCCCAAACCCCACCCTCTCCCGGACCCACCCCCCAAAAGTCTCCAGGTATTTTCCAACCCAGACCTGGCAACCCTATGTTACTAGAAGGCAATTTTGGAACAGCTCGAACCACGACAGAAGCCTATAAAGCCAGGCTGACCCTGACCACAGTGAACCAAGATATATGAATTGTGTACCGCAGGCAAAGACATCCTACAATCCAATTCTATGAAAAGCTATTCATGTAACCCTAAAAATGAAACTTGGTCTCTACTAGTTTGCACACTTCCCGTTACTTTAAACTACTGCTTCGGCTACAAAGTCACAATGGATTTAAACCTATGGAACAGGTATAGCTTCTCTCAAAGAATGCTGGGAACTGTAGTTTGGAGAGAGGCTGACCATTCCGCCTAGGCAGGCTTCCTGGGATTACGGGGGTTATTGCATTAGTAGGTAAACTTCGATAGCGCGTGCCACGACAGGCAGATATTGAACCGGTGAAGCTCTCCTAATTGCACTGCTGCCTGCTACGCTGCGACTACATGCAGTGCCAGAGCTATCCGGAAATTTACTTCCACTGTTGTTTGATCTGGACGAAACGGAGGGGAGGGGACAGAGTTAAGGGGGAGGAACTGGAAGGGGGCGGTCCGGTTCTTTGCGCTCTCTTCTAGTTCGGGTTGGAACAAGTATAGAACCCAGAACCGGTGTAAGGAATTGACCACGAGGAGGCAGCGCAGAGCCGGCTGGGGCGAAGGAGCCCCAAACTCCCACTATCCTCGCGTCTTCGTCGAGTTTGCCAAACCCCTTCCCCCCCCCCCCCCCAAGGGGCGCCGGGGTTTGGAAGACCCCCCTGGCTGCTTCGCGGACCGCAGGCAGGCAGGCAGAGGAGCGCGTCGGCGGCTGCCAGAGAGCCTTCCTAGGGCAAAAAACTCTTCGGACTGTCCGGGGCAGGCGGGAAGAAGCGGGCGGAGCTCCAGCGCTTTGGCCGAAGAAGCGGCTTTTGCAGAAGGGATCTAGGGACGCCCGGAACTCTATTTGACTTTAACCCCACCTCGCCTCGCCGCCTTCGGGATCTGTTTCTCGGGCTGCTTTGGGGGACTCTGCGGGGAAGGGTGCGCGTTGGAGAGCTGGCGAGGCGCAGGGACTCGAGGGCTGCAGCGGGAAGCCTTCCCCGGCTCGTCGTCTCCAGCCGGGTCCTTTCGGTCTCCTTCGTCCCGGACTTTAAACTATTCAAGTCAGCTTGCCATTTCGGCCCCTTCCCCAACTTGCGGACGGAAGGCGGTGCGCGCCTCGCTATGTGACAGCAGGACGGATCCAAACGGTGCAAGATGTTGACGGGGCGGATTTGGGGGGCTAGCCCAGTTTAGGCCGGACCCACATCAGCCCCCCGCTGGATCGGTTGCCCTCCCGGTCGAATCAGAGGGTCGCTATGACAGAGATGAAGGCCAAAGGGGACACCAGGGCTCACGCCTCCTCCTCCGACCCCCGGGACGGCTCGCTCCTTTTGCGCGCCCCCCACCCCTCTGAGCTCGGCTCCTTCCGAAAGGAGACCGTCGAAGCGCTCGATCTGTCCCTGGACGGGCTGCTGTATCCCAAAAGCAGCGACGATGAGGAGGAAGAGGAGGAGGAGGAAGACGAGGCCAAGGCGTACCTCCCGCCGGAGGAGGGGAGCGCGAAGGGTAACTCCTCCTCGATCCGAGCAAGCTGCGGCTCCCCGGCGGACAAGGATGCCTTGGACCGGGTCCTAGACACCTTCCTGGCCCCCTCTTCCTCCCCGGCCAACTCGGGCAGCCCCCCCGCCGCCTGGTCTTTCTTCGGCTCGGAGATCGCCGAGTTCCCCGGAGCGCTCATGAACCGCCGCGCCCCCGACGGCAAAGCCAGCGACGCGCCGGCCAACGCGACTCCCCTGCTGCCGCTTTCCCCGACGGCCCCCTCGTCTTCGCCCTGGAAGGCGGCGAAGGATGCGGACGGCGCCGTCTTCAGAAGCCCCCGAGCGAAGGAAGCGGCGCCCGCCGACGCCTCCAAGGGCGAGCCCGCCTTCGCGCTGCGGGACCCCTCCGAGTCGGACGGGGCCTCGGACTCCGGCGCCAACAGCCTCGTGGCCGCCGCGCCGTCGGGCCGCGTTCCCGGGGCCGCCGCCTCGTCGTCCAACC